TGTGGGTTCGTGAAGGCCAACATTTATGGCGCCATGAGGAATCTTATTCAACTTTCTCTATTCCTTGAACACAAACGTATAAGTTTAAACGCAATCACAACACGACCTTGCAATGTTCACTCAGTGAACATTAACATGACCCTCAAGGCCAACCTATCACCTCACTCTACGATTACCTTACAGGCTGTGTGTTGAGCAAAGATGGAAGGTGTTAGGCTGCAGTGTATTATTCATTGCACGGTGGTTTTTTCATTTAACAATTTTAGAAAAGCATTTTCTTAGAAAATCAGATTGACCTGAAGTCACCTTTGTGTCTTTCCATTTTGCAAGCATTTTAAGTGATAAAATGTAACTATATGTGAACCACAATGCTGTCTTAGGGTTAATAGTCTCTACTCAGATGTATTGTTTGGGTCCATTGTTTTGGTGTTTGATGCTGAAATTAGACGTTATGTAAGCATACAGTGCTTTCTCTAATTGACACCTAGCATGGCTCAAAATAGGTTGTAACACAAAACACATTGTCTTACATTATTGCTGCAAAGTGTGCAAATGATGACAAGCATATGTGAACGCAAAATAATGTTTTTGCACTCGTGGACTGTACTCATTTGTAATGCTGAACACGTTTGAAAAAATATGAATGTTGATACTAAATAAAGATAAACGATACAGACATTGAAGTACAATAGTGTACACGTATTTTAATTCATAATATACATATTTTTAATGTTAACATATGTGACTATGATACATGATTGACAGTTGATAATTTTATTCCAAGAATTCCCTTGCAAATAATACAGTCAAATGTCACAAATCCAACCATCACATGTCTGTCCTGACCAATTGTGGAGGGAAACACTGAAGGACCCGGAGAAAATTCCACACGACCACGGGGAATACACGCAAACTCCAAATATACAGGCGTCAGGGTCTGCAACAAATTTTACCCCTGGAAGATCTCAAAACGCATACAAGACCAAGCGGGCTGCAGACCCGACCGAACCTGTGCAGGCCAACTACTAAACCTCGCACAGGACATCGATGATGGCTACCAACGGAACTTGATCACCGGCGCAGCATATGACACTATCTGCTTCGATTTAAAGCTTTCGTGATTGCAGGGATTAATCTTCTTGGTTCTTTCGGTAAAGTCACGTAGAAGGGAAGTAATAAAATAATAAAAATAAAACATAATAAAATAAAATAATTCTCACGACGTTTCGGCTACAACGCAAGCAGCCGTCTTCAGGTGAAGAATGAGACACTGCCAAGCTAGGAGCTTATATATAAGCTGGGTTGGAGGTGGAAGAGCGCCTTAACAAAAAGAATGTGCATATCAAGAGGAATTTAGCATATTCATGGCAAATGCGTAGGAGGTGAGCGGGGGGGTTTCAACGTCATATTATGCCCATGCATTATGCAGGATCAGCAGCACCAAGGGAGGGTGCAGGGAGTAGCATTAACAAAGGAAAGGAATGTTAATAGTATGTAGCTGCAGTTACTAAACAACCACGTAGAAAACTAAAGTATAAACTATCTGCTGTATATGACACTGTTCAACACCGCATCTTGATCCACAAAAACTGTACCTCATGACTGGCGAACTAGACCTTATCCAGACAATGCATAGCCAACGATGGAAAAGAAGCTTCTACGTGGAAATAAATGGGCAGAAAAGTAGATGGCTTACCACAAGGCAGTGTGCTCAACCTACTTGTATTCAATATCTACACTAAGTAGCTTTCTCTAAAACCTTCGGCTGCTAGACCACCCAGATTTTATGGCCTTCCAAAAATTAATAAAGAAGGTACTCCACTTCGTCCTATTGTATCCACCATGAACTCACCTACCTACAAACTGGCCCGATTTTTGTCTGAGACCCTGCTTCCATTCACGGGAAAGACCACCTCAGCAGTACTTAACTCAGCTCACTTGGTTTTTCTAATCAAGGACATTTCACTGTCTCCAGATGATTTGCTTGTCAGCTTCGATGTAGTCTCTCTGTTCACCAAGGTACCTGTACCTGACACCATAGCAATCATTGAAGACTTGGTCCAACAGGGACTGCATCCTGATGTACCAACACTTACTTCATCTGGAATGGTACATTCTACAAACAAAATGAAGGTTCCCCTATGGGTTCTCCCTTATCACCAGTGGTAGTGAATGTTTTCATGGAGAAATTTGAAACATATGCCATCCTGGCATCCACCCTACATCCTTCCCTGTGGAAGAGATACGTAGATGACACTTTCGTCATCTGGCCACATGAACAGCCAGCACTGAACCAATTTTTCAACCACATCAATTCCATATCAAATTTACCATGAAAGTGGAAAATTATGGCAAGCTACCATTCCTGGATGTTTTGATCGAGAAGAGGCCTGATGGCTCGTTGGGACATTCCGTCTACAGGAAAGCCATCCACACGGATTCCTATCTAAAGCCTGATTCCCACCACCATCCGGCCCAGAAGAACTCTGTACCTTCAAAGATTTGTCCATGAAGCCATCCAGATATATAAACACAGAGACAATTTCAACCGAGAAGATGGGTATAAGCTGAGCAATCATTGGAAGGACGTTATTAACCAAGCAAAGTCGTAACTTGCTGTGGTGCTTCCATTCTTCCCTGCCGTTTGGTTGTTATCTCCGACTCTCTGAGTTGCATTGCCCTGTTGGGTACCTCTGCATTAACGGCCTGGGGTCTCACTAACATGGCCCCTTAGCCTCGATGCATCGATGGTTCTGACTGTGTGATGGGCTGTGTGTCTCACTGGCGCGACCACCGTTGCGGTGATCGCGCCAGTGAAAAACGTCGTAGTTTTTGGTTTATTTTTATTAATGTGAACCTATCTATATGACTTTACCGAAAGACCCAAAGCATATGAATTCCTGCAGTCACGAAGGAAGAAGAAGAAGATGTTGTGGGATGTATCCCGGTCCTGACACTTGTATACTTAGAGTTTAGATTATTTGGCTGCAACTATATATTCACTGATATGATGAGCGACTTCGATGAGCTTCATGTGTGGCCAGGTCACCTATGAAAAGGAGCTAATACCTCAGTGGACTGGAGTGGAAGATGGCAGCTTTCATGCAGCCCACTCTGTTCAGTGAGAAATCACAACAAATGCCATGAACGTGGCGACCGAACATCAATCATCGATCTCCCGGGCTTCAGAGCAACAACACAAGCCACACCACTGGCCGCTTCAGGGCCAAACAACATGCCAGATAGGCCCTGAGACAAGGGTCCTCCAACTGAACACTATCTCGCAAACATAATGAACACACGTAACATTGATGTCCTGTATTAAAGAACTTAGCTCTGTGTCCGATCTGGACACTGCCCGCCCAACGCAGAAGATCCCTGGGTTAGATATTCTACGAAACTCCACCCTAAACAACGTCCGCACACACCATGGCAGATAAAAATGGGCAATTAAAAACCCTCCAGTGTGCGACTGTGGTCATCAAGAACATACCATACAATATGTAAGGACGCAATGCCCGATCCTCAAATACGAAGGAGACATCACAGTGATACATGCACTCTACCTCTCCTGATGCGGTTATCTGGCTTAAGCACCGGAATGTGAAATTGTAGTTGTTGCACTCAATTTACATCAGCCATACGAAAAAGAAGTGTTTTTAACCTGGTAAATGCAATCGCAGTAATAATAGCATTATCATAGCATTCAGGATTTCATTGACAACATGGATTGGACATTGTGTGTTGGTATGCCAAAAGGTCACCAGCTTGAATTGAAAATGTTCCTCGAATGTGCCAAGACCTGGAAATAAATTCGAACTGGAGAAATTCGTCTGGAATAATGTCAATGCATTCAGAAAAATTAAGAGAATGCTGGTGCCACTGAATTTTGGTGAGGATAAATCTGTGGATAACTTGGAAAAAAATCGTTCTGCTGACATATCTTGTCAAATTTCGGACGTACATTTCATACACTTTAAAGGCATATAGTCATGAAGTGGCGTGTTAGTTGGGTGTCGTATGGGACTGCAGTGCAGTTCTAAATAATCTGTCCACCTTTCTTGATACGGGATAAAATGCTCATAAAATATGACAAGAGAAATGGGCAGATAATATTTATATATTATTTATTTATATTCTCTACAATGACACAAACGATTATTCTGAGTTATATAGTACAACGGTGTCTTTTTCTTAGCTTGGATCGTGGGGCCGTCTTCTGTGTCGACACATTGACTTAATAATAAATTTATTCTAAAATGACAAATAATCCCTTCGAAGGGACATCATCCCATGTATGAGATTACAGTATTTAGATTATTTGGCTGCTATAAATTCCCACATGATAAGCAACCTCGTTGGGCTATTATTTGTGGGCAGGTCGCTTCTGAAGAAGGTAATAAGCTCAGTGGGCTTTACGTGGTAAAAATATATTTTATCGATTTGCTTACCTTTCCTATACTTTGCACTCATATCGTGTTTCAGTATTGTTTGTTGTAACTTTCTCACCCGCCCCTACTGGATATTTGTGAAAAATAGTCTTATTGCTCATCGGATTCCTCCAGTATAAATCAAAACTCTGAATATGTATTTGTTTAAATTTTGACTTAAAACGTTCGTGACTGCAGGGATTAATATTCTTGGTTCTTTCGGTAAAGTCACATAGAAAATAGAATAAAAATTCAATTTGAATGTATTTTAAATTTGATCGAATTTTTTAATTTCTTTATAAAAAATTTTGTTTTTTATTATGTCTACGTGAAAAATAAATGAAGTAACATTTTTGGTATCTATTTTTTCTTCTATTTACTTGATTTTACCGAAAACCAAGAATCTGTATTCCTTTATTTGGCCCCCCGATTCACACCCACCCCTCCCCCTCGCGCATCACGTGACATGGAGCCGTTCCCCCCACCCCTTCCCTGCCGCACATAAACCGCCCCCCCCCCCATACAAAACAGTGACCCCCGCCCCAGGCTACGGCGAGCCCCACGGGGTCAAACAAAACAGCTGAACGACGTCTGCCGATAGGGGAAGCGCGCAACCGCGATTTTTTATTCGTCACCGAGTTCACAACAACAGCAGCAGCAGCAGCAATAGCAGCGCGGTCTCTGTCCACCCACCCCTCCCTTCGCAGTCGCTCTACATTACAGCGATAATAGCCCGGGGCCGCCGCTTGCTTGCTAGCTAGCTAGCTGAGCGAAGGGAGGGAAAGCGGAGAGAGGAGAATAACGAGGGAGGAGCAGAAGGGAGAGGAGGTAGAGTGAGATGGAGGCGACCGAGGCGGGCGCGGCCGTGCCGGCGGGCGCGGCGTACGGAGCCGGGCGTGCGGGAGGAGCCTTCGACCCCGTGGCCTTCATGAAGCAGCCGCACTCCATCCTGCGGGTGGTCAGCTGGGTGAGAGCTTCGTCGTCATCCAGCAGTGGAGACCCATGGCTGATTTTACGATACTCGCCCCGCGCGCGGGGACGGTGATCTCGGCTACACGCTGCGTAATGTTTTAAGTGAACCCACGACTGGGCGATGGCCTCACACTCGTTATATCTTTACGGTATATGTATGTAACATAATACACTAAACGGACTAATGTATTACAATGTTTCCAACGCGGGGGTGACCTGGGTAAGACCCCTGCTTGAATTGTAAATGGTGATGCCTGCTCTATGTGCTGTGAAGGGCCATTGCCCGAAACGTCGGATATATGTTTAAGCGTTTTAAGGCAGTGTTATCGACGAGTGGGTTGCGTTTCAATATAAATGGTGATGCCTTAGATATATATTACATTACCAATGTACGCGTTTATACTGCATAGACTCGGAATCTTATTTAATCCTGGGCGTGGTCAACTGGAGGATAAGAACCTGCTAATGTCCATAATGATCAACCATCAAGATGCGTGAGCATAGTGGACACTGCATTGATTGCTACCTTGTGTAGATTATACGCGTATGCTATAGGCTGTTGCGGGGAGGAGCGGTAGGTTCAGAAAAATAATTTTATTGGACCCCAACGCCCCTATGTTTGTGCTGCCTACCTTCACCAACCCGCACCACTGACCAATGTGGTGAAGTATGGTCAAATAACCCCACGATTCGCACGGTGTGGGTAGGCCTTCATCCAGCAGGTGATTGACAATGAGATTTACCTGTAGACATGTTGAGCCCTCTGTATGGTTGGGCATGACTTGTCCCTTTTCTAAAAGTATATACATTCAATCAGAGCCGTTTGGGGCAACATACCCCGCCATTACACCTACATCTGTACATTACACTGTGTAACAATTTATTTTTCCTGGGTAGTAAGTTTTATTTCCTAATTGCGTATGCCTCGAAAGTACAGAAAAGGCCTATTATTCCCCACAAACTTTGTTTTTGTGACCAGGACAGTGATATTTTGAAATTTAGCTATTTTCCAGAACATTCCAGATAGATTCAGTGCTGAGTAAACTTGGAGTAACTTCTAGAACATTCTATAACTTTCCAGTAATATAAATACTATTATAAATACAGGGGCATTAAGCCCACGAGTTCAGTTTAGTTCCAGTTGCCCAAATGGATACATATCTGCATTTTTCTGAGATGGCATGAAGAGGCTGCAAGAATCCGGAAGACGCATTTTGCTATGTCTGTGACTAATTTATCAAGATAAGAGCGAAAAAGTTATCTGGAAGCATCTGCTAAGATGTGCGAGGCCTACAAGGCATATTTTGGCATGCCTGTCGGGGATTAAGATAAACCTTGGGCACCTAATTTCAGCTGTGAGCAATGCAAAACAACTCTGGAAGGTAAGATGGACAATTGTTGCTCGGAATTATATGTTATAAAATTTGTAAAAAAAATTGTTTTAAAGTCATGGGTGAAATAAATGTATTTTTGTAGGATTGTACAGAGGGGAAGAATTTGGCAGGGACCCACTGACCACTCAAGCAACTGCTACTTCTGCATGGTGGACCCTTCCAAATGTCGGACTGGCAAGAATTTACCTGCTATCAGGTATCCGGACCTTCCTTCATCCATTGCCCCGGTGCCACACTGCCATGAGCTCCCTGTACCCACTCATCCGTAGAGAGAGCAGCCGTCTTTAGAAGAGAGTAGCAAGTCAGAAAGCAAGGAAGACGTAGATCTAGATGACAATTTCAGAGGTGGAGCTGAGGAGAGAAACCCATCCTACCCCAAACAAAAAGACCTCAGCAACTTGATCAGAGATCTTGGTCTCACCAAGTCATCGGAGACTTCAAAATCGTGGCATTCCTGATGGGTCTCCAAGGCGGTTTTACCAAGTTTCCATGCTATCTTTGTCTTTGGGACTGCAGGGACACCCAAGGTGTACTACCACAGGTGGGACTGGCTACAGCAGACCGAGTTTTCTGTGGGGAGGAACAACGTCAAGTGGGAGCTACTGGTGGACCCCCAGAAGGTGCTGATGCCATCACTGCACGTAAAATTGGGCCTTATGAAACAATTTGTCAGAGCTGTAGATAAGGAGTCTGCAAACTTCAAGTATCTTCAAGACTTCTTCCCTAAGCTGTCTTGAGGCAAAGGTCAAAGCCGGTGTCTTCGTCGGACCACAGATGAAGAAGATTCTGGATGCAAATGAATTCCCCAAATAGCTCACTAGTAAAGAAAACGTGGCCTTGGAACAGCTTTGTCGCAGTGGTTCGTGGCTACCTGCGCAATCATAAGGTCGAAAACTATGTGGAGCTGGTTGAGACTGGTGAAGAACTACAGCACAATGGGCTGGAGGATGTCTCTCAAAGTTGATATCCTTGATGTTCATGTTGATAAATTCAAGGAGAACATGGGAGCGTACTCGGAGGAGCAAGACAAGCTCTTCCACCAGGATATACTGGACTTTGAATGCCGCTACCAAGGACAGTATAACGAGAACATGATGGGAGACTACATTTAGGGATTGATTCGTGAAGTGATTTACAGTATAATCAAATCTCGAAAAACTACTCGCTTCCAAATATTTCGTTGTAATTTTTTTATTACTTTAGTATAAATACATGTTGATTTTGATTCATATGTTGTTGTTTTTCTGACTTTGTGATCGAAATGACACATATTCGCCCGTTTTCTCATGAAAAATAAGTAAACTTCAAAATAGCACTGTCCTGTTCACTAAAGCAAAGTTTGTGGGGAATAATAGCCATTTTCTATACTTTTTAGGCATAAGCAATTACGAAATAACATTTACTACTCAGGAACAAAAATTGTGTCACATAGTGTTATATATGGTAAGCCCCGTATTAATGCAAATCCGTATCGCATATGGCACTCTTTGTTGAGGGTGATGAGCTGGGACCATACACCACTCATGCACATGTCTGTACAATACAGATGGGATTTATACAGTGTTCAAATCCCACAGACATTCAGAATGCTGTGAAAAAATAGTGAACATTTATTTCGTATAGAGTCAGCAATTCAATTGCAGACGAAATAAGGAAGCCTGGATTGGAACATGGGCAGGCGAGTCCACAGCACGGATGACGGAGTAGTTCCAGAAAACGTTGAGGAGAGGAGGGGAGTAACATCCAAATGAGTGAGGGTTGTTTGGAAACTTTCATAGAATGCTTTGGTTGCTGGAATGGAGGGCTCCGAAGGGATTCGAGTGAGATAGGACGGGAGATGTTGGCAGGCCCAGGTTCATGGAGGTTCTTGAAGATGGTGAGGGTGATCTTGAATTTGATGTGAGACTGGTTTGGCAGCCAGTGGAAGAATTCGAGTATTGTGGTGATGTCACAGTTGCGGTAGAGTCTTGCATCATCTGGAGTTTGCTGAGGGGTGTGGATGAGAAGGCATGAATTATGGTCCTATGAGGAAGGTTGACTTGCAGATTTGAGATTTGTGGAAGTGGAATGAGTGCTCGGATTCAATGACATGTTAATGGTGTAGGACAGGGGTCGGCAACCTACGGCTCCGGAGCCGCATGCGGCTCTTTACGGGCTGCTTCTTGACGATATGTACGTATGTACAGTATGTATTCAGATGCATTGCGGCTCTTGAAATACTGAATTTTGTACCGAATTGGAAAGCAATGGCTCTTCTTGTTATTTTGGTTGCCGACCCCTGGTGTAGGAGATGCATGCTCACACTGTACTCTGCTGGGTGTGAACGTTTAAGTCATGCCCAACGTTTTGAAAATATTTATTTTGAGGAAGTTAGAACCAATCCAAAATAAGACAGTATCAAGGCAGTATTTCGGAGTGTTCTTTAAGGTTGGATTCCTGGAATCGATAGCAATGTATAGCCGGGTGACAACACCATAGAAGTGATGGTTGGAATTAAAACTGGGGATGACTATTTGCCAAGCAGGAGGACATATAGCAAAAAAATCAAGCGGCCAAGGATGGAGCCTAAAACCTCATACATTTGGGGTTTTTGAGCGGAAGTTTTTCCTTGTGTAAGGGATACCAAGAGGCAAACTATATTTGGAAATAAATCACCGTGTCTAACGGCTCGTGAGTACAAATGGCTCGTGAGTTGACTCATTGGTGATCTATCACAGGGGGGAGCTGATGTCGGTATTTGAAGGTGGAGAAAATTAATATCGGATTGGTGATCAGAGGAAACTAATTGGAGATGAGGGGTCGGTTTGGAGATGGTAATGAGAAACACTAGCCTTTTGCCCGTCCAAGGACTGGTGTATTTCAGTAAATCTGAATCTTGCAAGCGAAAAGCAGACCGCGACGTGATATTACATCAATTTGTGTGCAATTTGTAAGGCAGCGGTGACACAGACTTATTTCATTTAAAGGTTATAATCCCTTGTTCATCATGACGTCCTTTTTACTTTGATGTCTCAATCGCGTTACGGAGATCGCGTGACGTGAGGGTTCTGCATTTGTAGTGAGGGTTGTATGTTGACGCCGAGGAGGGGGGAGGAGGCGCCTTGCCCCCCCATGTGGAGTGACGTCACCCGCTAATTGTATTATTGAGGGGGGGTGCCCATTTGGAGGACGTCACCTGCTCCTGATTATTAATGAGGGGGGCTGGTCGATGTGGAGTGACGTCACACGCGGGACAGACATTCTTGGCTCATAATAGTGTATAGTACGTTATGTATTATATAGCTTTAGGTCAAACTACCACTTATTTGTAACAAAAAAGGTCCTTTAAACATCTGCAATTCACCAGTATCGGTTTAAGCAAGCCTGATGGTACTGATGAAATAAAACTGGCCAAATTTAGCTTTTATTAAACCAATTCTAATTAAAAGATGCACCCCCAGAAGGATGTTCAGCTGAAAAGATGTGTAAAACATACTTTTGCTATTTACATTCTCGAAAACAATTCTGAATTATTAAGTTTAAATCGTATGACTTAAAGATGCACACATACAGAGTACAGTAGTTATTTTCATTGAGCACTCAGCTGGTTGAGTGTAAAGGCTACCAATCTCAGTTTTTACAGGGAAGTAAAATACAAATCTTTTGGAGTACAGTAATTCGTTTTTATATACTAAAAGTAAAATAAATTTTTATCATACCAGGTAAAGCCCTCTGGGCTATATAACTCTTTTTCAAAGCGATCTTGCCACAAATGATTGCTCAAAGAAATGGCTTTCACGTGGATTTTTTTTTGCAGCCAAATAATGATCTAAACGCATGTTACTAAATGTGGAGGGAAAAACTGGAGAACCTGAAGAAAAAGCCACACGACCACGGGGAGAACATGCAAGTTCTAAATGTACAGGCGTCAGGATTGAACCCACGAACTCCTGCGTACCAGGAAAGGCAATTAACATCTCGCCACCAGTAGACGGAACTGTAGTAAGAGATTCATATTTGGGTGTTTGGGTTAGTAAGGACTTGGAGTGATGGTGCAGTGGTTCAGGCACTACGCGATACAGAGGGGGACCTTCAGCTCAATTCCTGACAACAGCTAACATCAGTGGAGAGTGATATCTGAACCAATCCACCAATCTGCACTCACCAGCATGGTGAAGTATGATAAAAAAACATTCCCCATAACCGACATGGCCTGGGGGGAGACCTTTCACCCAGTCATGATTTGACAAATACCTATCAAATTTGACATACTTCCCTTGTAGAAATTATTGTTTTTGTTGTAATCCAGGAGAGCCTCACTGAGTCTTAAGACATGTTATTAAGTGGTAGTATATAGTATCTAAAGTACATATGAACAGCATCTGCAGGCATCATTGCTGTAGCTGCCGATGATTGGACTTTTAAGTTGTGCAGACAACTGAAATTAAGCCTTTTTCTTGATACCAATGAACTGTTGAATTTGAGATGCATCCCTTATTTTAAACCAATTGCAGTAACATTAACGTGCATATATATTGCATTTATTTGGGAGTGACATAGGATATTTGGTAGTCCTAAGTAATGTCAGGTTGACCTGAAACACGGAAATCCTCTGGGATTAAGTGTAATCGAAGAACCTGCAGCAATAACTTGGTGTCAGCAAGCATTGATGCTCACTTGCAAACACTCGTCCCTTTAGGGTGTGATTACATGCATGTGCATGCGTCAAGTCCATTACTCGGTGTATTTTTATATAAATCATATATTTTATTGCTTAAGTTATCGGCTGGGCAGATTGAAGGATTTTGTTTAATTCGGAGGAGAGGGTGATTGAATATATAAATTTACCATCAGATTAGCCAGTGAAATACCGTTCTGTTCTCAAGTATAAAAGGCATGGTATCGATTTAATGCAATAATATTGCACACATTAACAGCTACCAGAACATGCATGGCTTAATCTGATAAGTGGCATTTACAAAGCATATCCTGGGGAAAATGTACGTAAGCGGTATACTATGTACTGCTACAGTGTTTCATTGATTCCACTGAAATACTGTTCTCTAGTTAAATGCAAACTATTTAATGTTTCAATCAGTAATTGTGCTGTTATCTAGTTTGTTACACACTGCTCATTAAAATTCACACCATTGAGTTGTGTTGATGTGTTTGCGACAAGATGAATACATACAGTAATGACAGTGGGTATATTTGTTCCACATCCTCTAAATTTGTGGAAGCAGAAGATAAAACTGCTACTCCAATAAAACGGGTTACTGTACATTGGAAGTATAAACAAACACATTGTCATGTTCACAATATGTGATCACGTAAATTATGCCGATCACGTAAATTATGCCAATCCCAGAATTGTGGACAACATTCTAACTCTTAACACTTCCTGGAATTCTTTTTCCGAAACGCTATTTTTTTTTCTCTGAACCTGGTTTCTTTGGCTCGTTAAAATGGATGGTAATAAACATAATTTTCCAAATTGAAGAAAATCCTGACCACCAATAAACCTATACGTAATTATATCTATACCAGTTTTCCTTGCATCGTAGGGATGTGTATTGGATCTGTTAATGTACGTCATTGGTCTGTTTATATCTTGTACAGTAACAGTGTAAAATACTTCCACGTAAGACTGCAGAAAATATATGTAAATAACACCACAGCCACGTCAATCTAACATCACATTTAAATGTTATGTTAGATTTTCCCAATCTTGTTATTATCGAAGAAATTAGTTCGTTCTGAGCCTTTGGTACGATGTCTTTGGTGTCTAGGACAATATGTAACATTTGATTTTCACTCTTTGCTCCATGAGGTCGTGCATGTCACGAACATTTATTTCGAATCCAAATGTCTCACATGTGGGACTATTAATAATGACATGGCATATATGAAGCATATTCCAACGTTAAATGTAACTGCATTGGAAGGCAAATTGAAAATGAAATTATTTTAACATGAACCGTATCACAGTTCTTATTTGCTTGTGCATAATGGACTTTTATCTAGATTGCTTCATATATGTGTTGGCATGTCCTACCTTGGCTTAACACTGCTTTAGAACCTGGAGATAATTAAAAATCTAATCCTATTGAAACATAGGGACGCTATTAATGTAGTATGTGGTCATTATTGTGTTATACAGTATGTGTGGTTATATAGAGACGAAAGAACATGGAATAAATACACATTTTACAGGTAATTAAAGGTCTTTTTGCAGACCAAAATGGTAAAGAGTCGGGTTGAGTCAAGGTCGTTAGCTCATCTGTTTATCTTTTTTGTCACAATTCTTGATTCATATTTTCAGTTTCAAGTAGAATAGGAAAGAATGTCTGCGTTCGTATGCAGATGGTGTTGTTATTGTAAGTTCAACTCAAGCAGTAAATTAAACTACTCTTGTGATGTCAAACATTTCGGATTTCAGGAAGCATGACACAGCAAAGTGAAGGCCCGAAGCACACACAATCAAAAGGCATTGTCACATTAAAGTGATACCCCAAAGTGGTGGAGGCAGTGCCTGTACCTTCGATGATTCGTTGGTGAATAATGTAAAATGCGTAAGATATTTGAATGTGGAACAAACATATTAATAAGATATGACCGTATAAGCTAACAATTGAGACTTCATGCTTCCCACTATATTTTAAAAGGCCATATAGATTAGGATTGTATGTTTAACAGCCATGGTTCTTACTCCAAGTTATTGCATGATTTAGTTAGAAAATAATGAGTACTGTATAGCAATTCTGGCAGTATTGACATAAATTACATATCAGATATCGTAAGCAGTGACTTGCCTTATAGCATCCTAGCTGTACAAGTTTATGAAGGGACGTTGACACTTATTTCCACTGGTGTCATTCTACTTTTAATTAAATGAAAGACATTCAGCCAACAACAGCTGTATACTTTAATCTGTTTAAAATAACACCGTATGTTACGAGAGTACAATTACATATTGAAAGAGCTCATGTTTATACTGTATTCACACTTTTAAATAGTATATTGGGTATTCTACACTACTTGTTGGCTAAATTGCAATTTATTTTTTATAATCAACTAATGGTAATACTTTAGCCAGTCCTGTTGATAGCATTATATAAGTAAGATATTGTGATTGTAATTTTATTATGACTATAATGAAATGTATTTGCGTAAATGAAATCGTGCGTTAGAAATAAATGTAATAATGACCAGTGGAATATCCATTTTTACCCAACTGTATTTGTTCACATATTTATGTATAATATAAATTAATGGCAAGATGCTATATATAGTTAGTAACTATATATTCAGTAAACACTGCATGACCACAATTTTATAATTGTTTTAAGAATATCACTATTTTTCGATTTAAAGCTTTCGTGACTGCAGGGATTCATCTTCTTGGTTCTTTCGGTAAAGTCACGTAGAAGGGACATAATAAAATAATAAAAAGAAAACATAATAAAATTATTCTCACGAAACGTCGAAGAAGAATATCACTATATTGTGAAACCTACTGGGGGGTGGGGTGCAGAGCACGGCTCACTGTGAGCTTGTGCATTTCCCCATCTGGGCTCGACATCGCTGTTTATTCCTTCAGGGTTAATACAAAATAAGTACCTCTATTTGGTAAGTCAACACTGTTTATCATATGGAAGGACTCGCCCCCATTTTAGACAATGTTTAATTTCATATACTGGCTCACAGCTACAAACACTGACATACCCCCCCCACCAGACACACGTTTGAGCTGGGTGAAACCACCTGTGACTTTTTTACTTTGAATCCCGCGTTCATTTCGTTCTGCAGTTCTTCTCTATCGTGGTGTTTGGCTGCATTGTCAACGAGGGCTACACAAACAACCAAGGCTCCAAGCTGCACTGCATCTTCAACGGCAACGGGGATGCGTGCCGCTACGGCATCACGATCGGCGTGGTGGCGTTCTTCGCCTGCGTGGCCTTCCTGGCGCTCGATGCCTACTTCCCGCAGATCAGCAGCGTCAAGGACCGCAAGCGCGCAGTACTGGCCGACCTCGCCTTCTCCGGTCGGTGTCTTCTGGCTAGACGTCCGTTTAACACTTTTCCAGTGGTGTCCGTCTCCTTAAGGTTATTAAGGTGTCATTGAATAAAGCATTCGTTGGATTGAACGTGCATAGTGTATATGATTGTTAAAACGCTAAAACAAATGCACAAGGATGTTTTGTTTGATGGAAAGGCTATTGAAACTCTCCATGGAAATGTTTTATTGAATACTCTTGTCAAGTTGAGCCACTGAAATATTAATTGTACAGTGGTTTCCAAGCAATTCTCAGGGATGTGGGTCGTGATGCACATGTATTTTCACTAAGTGTACAAAACTAAAGGCCAGTATGAGCAATACAAAAACACTGTTGGTGAAACACTTTAATGCACAGCTCAGTACCATGGATGCAGTATTACTACAGTTTAACACTGCTCATACAGAATAGGGAAGTAAACATTTCCATTGTCAAAATAGACATGGATAAGGGTACATTTAGAAGAAGAAAAACACATGACGCTTATGTTGGTTGGTGTCATGTCCTTAAGTACGTGCTTGTTTCCGTTCTCTTATGCTGTGTTCAGCTTTCTGGGCCTTCATGTGGTTTGTGGGCTTCTGCCTCCTGACAAACCAGTGGCAAGAAACACCTGACAGCAAGGTGCCCAATGGAATTGGAGCAGACAGTGCTCGCGCTACCATCGCCTTTTGCTTCTTCTCCATCATCTCTTGGGTGAGGAGCTTGCATTTAACTGTCGGTGAAATGCTCGGAATTTTTTGGCGCAGACTTGCACACACATGCAAATAAATGTTTGAGTAATTTTAAAATTGTAGCACCAAATAAAGCAACACTTCTATGACATGTGGCATATCTAACTCTCCTTGAAGGAGAACCAGTCTACATGGGTGTTCATATTCTTAGGTTTTTTCGGTAAAGTCACGTAGGTAAAACATTAAAATTAATAAAAGTAAAATAAAATAAAAATCACGACGTTTCGGAGGCAACACAAGCTTCCGTCTTCAGGTGGAACCGTCACAGCCACGACAGCTGTATCATTTACTTGATACAGCTGTATCATTTACTTGATACAGCTGTATCATTTACTTGATACAGCTGTATCATTTACTTGATACAGCTGTCGTGGCTGTGACGGTTCCACCTGAAGACGGAAGCTTGTGTTGCCTCCGAAACGTCGTGATTTTTATTTTATTTTACTTTTAGTAATGTTAATGTTTTACCTACGTGACTTTACCGAAAAAACCTAAGAATATGAATCCTTGCAGTCACGAAAGCTTAAAATCTAGAATACATGGGTGTTCATTGTTAATTGTAACACGATTGGTTACGTCTATGCCAGAAACATGTTTTAACTTTCCTGACGTGTAATTTGAAATGCAGGCAGTAAGAATGGTAAATGTTATGCTTGCTTATTTTATAGTAAGAACTGCTACATTTATTACAATAATTGGCTATAATTTACTTATATTGTTTCATTTTACTTGTGCATGCAATGTTATTTCACTGCCAGGAATAAATACGCCCTGAACACTCCATATATTAGGACTGGTTTATCTCTCAAGTTATCAGTTTGAAAACCACGATTCTAAAAAGATGTTTAAAAATATAAATATAACAAATCCATTGGGTGGTACCACTCTACCAAATCAATAGTAGTTCCAAAATAAGTGTATATGTGCTGTTAATGGTGTGGCCAACTGCTTCGACTGGAGAAGAGATCAGGCAGGTCTAAATGATTGCTGTCATACCTATGGTGTATTTCACAGTTCCCTTTGATAATCTCAAAATAGCTCACGAGCCTGCTTAAGGGATGCCATAGCCAAGGCTTTGCAGTAGAGTGCATGATTTGTAGCAGCTACTTCAAATGGCTGAAAAAGACCATTTTGTCTACAACAACGAATTCTAACCTTGTATGATGAAGTTGGTTAAACAAGGAGTGTCACATCTGAGAAACCGAGGTTATAATTGCTGCTTCCATATCCAGTTTACATCAATACAGGCAGTCCTCGACTTTTGAAGGGGTTATGTTGCTGAGACCTGTTTATAAGTCGATTTGTTCATATCTCAGAACTTGGTGTAAAAAATGTATTACAGTTCAACAAAAAAGGGAAGCATTGTTAAACATAAATAAGAAGAAATATTGTACATTTGCAAGTAATAAATACCGTATAGAAAATAAAACATAAAAGAAAGTAAAATAAAATAAAAATCAGTTTTATTTTATTAAAAATCTGTTTTATTTTCACTGACCTTGAATCCTGATGCTGGCTTTCTTGTTGGAAGGGGCATTATGAGTCCCAGAAAGATGCTGGCATTTATTTCATCTCGCAAAGGATCATTCCACCAAACATAATAGTTGCACGGTTTGGTTCATAAGTATGACCGAACGTTTGCAAGTCGGATGGTTAAAAGTAAACAACTTTATAGCGGTTCTTTCGTAAGTGCGGATGTTCATAAGCACTTGCATTTGCAATTTATATCATCTTAAGCAGATAATTTATGCTTTTAACATCATCAGTTTTATTTTGAAGGACATTCCAGACAAAATTGCATTTTGAAAAGGGCTACAATGCTTCCTTGTGTATGAATCGGTAATTAATAGTGACGCATTTTTTTAGCGGACACTATTAAACGGAATCTCAAGGGCTCTATAATAAATGAGTGTTGAAGTCATTTGTTACCATATAATTAACGTTACATAACCCTTTGGAATGTAGAGACTGTATGTAAATAATTTCATCACCAATGCTTGGACTGAGAGCAGTGGCATGACAAGTCTGCTTTAATGTAATGTTTAGCTTTATATAGCTTCGTTAATGTAAATTTCATCTCGTGATCGCTGAGGAACCACAGACAAGCGGGAAAGCAGCCAGGCTTTGAGCAGGCACGAACAATTCCCACATCCCTGTGGTGCTCTATATTAATGAGTGTTTATATGTGTGGGTGGAAACCATAGCACCCGGAGAAAACCCATGCATCCATGGGGGAAACACTATCCTATACAGAAGGGACAGATGGAGGCGAGTCCACATTTTGTCTTTCCAATTTCCCTGACAAACCAGCACCTGGACTCCTGGGGGAAGGGAGTTATGCAATATTTTTGCGATTTGCCAAGAGCTTTATTTTTCCTTATGAAGTGCCATATAGCTAATGATGTTTATACCAAAAAAATATATATTGTTATACAATGTTTTGGAATCAATGACCTTTTTGTGTATTTCAGGCATGATTTTCGATGATTTTTGCTGTTTTAATGATCACCCACATTTGCACAATAGTAAAATGTCCTAATGGTTGAAAATGTGTTGAGAACGTGAATCATTTTCAGTGTTGACAATATGGCAAAGTAGAAAACAAACAACACCACTTATTCCAATCAATAACCGACAGTAGTACCTTAACAAACACTCGATTAGTGTATCCATTTACTCTTGCGTGCTACCAGACACAATCGTAACAAAATCTTGCGATGCAGTCCTTTTTGTGTTCAACTGCACTAATCGTTATGTTACACAATATACTTTGCATATGTAAACTCTGTCGTGCGTTCCACTCTTTTGCGCTCCATTTATGGTTTTCAACTTTTTTGTACCGTGTTTTTGTACCACACTCCAGGCTTACCAATCATTGTTTGCACTGGGCAGGTTTAAGCACATTGGTTACTCTGAGGAGACTCAGGCCAGGCTTCTGTCAGGGCTCGTTTAGAATGCATTTATAACCATTTATATGCTTATATATCTAGAATCTGCTTGCTATTCTTCGTGCTCATCCTCTATTTTAGAATTCACGTGTGGTTTTTAACCTGATACCTTTGGATAGACTTTAATTTTGATCCTTTTCAAGTAAAGGTTTTGCAAGTTATCTTCTAATGACGTATGAGTGAGATGCACTCATGTTTTCCAATACGTAAAAATAAACATGAAATGTAATAAATTAATTTCGATTTGAAACAGGTTGAGAACCACTGACCGAAACACCTTTCAGTCAAGTACCATCATTTAATTTGTCAGACTGATTTTTTTCTGAAATTTTGTAACTTTAACTTAACACTAAACTTGCCATGCATGTTTTTTTTTCAGGAAATAAAGATCATTAGAGCCATAAGGACACTTTAAAATACTTTTTAATGTTTTTCTTCCTATTTTACGAACTGTACACAATCTGTTAATTACGAGAGACAAAGTACGGAACAGAGTTCCTTTGTGTGGCCGAGCGGCAGCGCGCTTGCCACTTGTTGCAGAGGCTCGCATACCTGTCAACCCCTTGTCAGTGCCTACCTTATTACAGATAAATTCAGACCTTATTGGTCACCCCATGCCCCTTTTAAATCTCAAAGTTCATTTTACAAAGTCCCATTACAAGGGAGAAACACAAACAAATAGACAAAAAATGTGTTTTTGCCCGTATTGAAACGACCGTACGCCGAATGGAAGTGAAAACTAAATTTCCCTGTACAAGAATACGGGTAAACCGTATGGGTTGACAGATATGGGCTTGCAGTTCCACTTCAGCAGCTGCCCTGATTCGTACCCTAGGTGTATTAACCAAAAAATACCAGGGTGTCTGCATCTCAGTGGATGTTAATGATTCCATAATTGTTATTCGAAAAAGAGTAGACCCAGTGTGTGCCGGTGTCACAGGCCAAACTTTTGTCAAATTTGAAATTACTTGCAATTGACTTAATTGGGTAACGCCACCTGGCAACGTCGCCCCTAATGTGAAACGCATGCGAACTAATTGTCTGCAAAAAATAGCACCTTTGAGATAGCCTTGTGATGATGATGATTATCCAATGAATGTTTTGTAATGTAAGCTTTGCTACAATATCTGTGACTACTACACCTATGTCATAGATTGTAGTAATTAGAGCCAATTGAAATACCTGGAAACACTAACTATTTAAATACTTATTTTACTATGAGATACGATAATATTAGATTGTTTTGTATAACCTCAGAGGTGCTATATGAAACAATTAACTTTTCCAGAAATTAATGCAAACTGATATTTACTAGAGACACGGATTTGGAGTTCCTTATTGTGCATTGAAATGTTTTTGAAAGCTTTGCTTAACATGTCACCAGAACTACGTGAGAGTGTCAGGATCAGCATGTGTGAGAACTAACCGTTTCCTTGCTTCACAATCATCTAGATAACTTGTATCCTGTGTTTTTTTAACCCTGCCTAACCCCGGCCCTCGACATCCCCTGGCGCACCCAAAATGTTCTCCCAATCGCCTGTCAATGGTGACCGTGCACCTTTTGGTGGCAATGTGCCTTGGGGTGGGTGGGGGCGGTGTGGCGTTTCCACGTGGATCTCTGGCGCGCAACAGAGTGGGATCGCCTTCCTGGCATTGCGGAGGTTCCGTCTGGGTGCCGACGCGGCGTTCTCTTCACCGTTCGGGGACGGTGGGGCCGGCATCGCTGACGGCGACAACATCATGCCGGTGCCGACGCCGCCCTACGCCACCGGCAGTGGGGTGGAGGGCGAGGAGGCTTACAGCAAGCCTCCCTTCTCCCAAGCAGTGCCTACCGCAAACACATTCGCTACGCCTGCATACTGAGTGTTGGAAAATAATATTATTGGGATTTGGCTTGGGTTGCAATTGATTGGTCGTAGTATTAAGACTCCGTCTGTGAAAGTATAAAAATGAGGTTGCATTGGCCAATGCTGCAAATGCGGTTACTTCTGTGAGCTGCAATTACTCTTTAAGTTATCTAAAAGTGAGCTTATATTAGCATAGAACATTTTTTATGAAAGCCACAAATGTGTTTGCTACACTAATTGGCAAAGTGTATGATAGAGCAGAAATGTAGCTATTGAGGTTAATCATAAAAATGCGTTATCATGATGATTATTCTGTTCTGTACTGTCCACGTGCATGGAAATTCACTGAGTGCATACAGAAGTTGCACAGACATTTTACAGTGTACGCATTGCAAATGAATGTGCACAATACCAAATCCTCTAATTGCTATCTTCTTTATCATATTTTTTTTTACATCAGTTTCAAATTCGGATATACAATTGATAATGATAAAGTTCCATTCCTGCCTCATTTTTACCACGGTTCTGGGTGATAGCATCCATTGCCACTCGGTTGTCCTGAGTGAGGTGTTTTTGTTTTGTGTGCGTAGACAGTTGCGAGTTTGTTTCCATTTTGAGCGTGTCAGCACTTCATCGCGTTTGATTTGTGGAGGTATTGGCTACTCCATAATGCCAAATGTCATTGACAGCCTCTGCATGCTTTATCAAATATTGGATTTTTACATCAGAAGGCTTCTTCTGCCGAGTATTATCTGTTACTCATATACCCGATCTCTGCTTCATCTTACTTTGATGTTAAATTATTTAGCAACCATTAAGTTTAATGTGCAAATTATATAACTGGACATGTTTGCATTTGGTTATTTTATAGCCTGTTTAAAATATAGTAAAGTTTTTGGGAAGATTTTAAGGAAGTTGTGTGAGGGTTAAATGTACCTTCACCTAAATGTAATAAAGCAAACCTAATTACAAAAAACTACTTTAAAATTAATTATGTGCAGCAATTTTTTAAAAATAAAATTATCACTGACTTTTGCCATTAAAATAAATTCATTTTATTGTTCCCAAGTAGTTTCTAACCTTTAAAAATCCCTATTTGAGCATTGTTAAGATTGATGATTTATGAGTGGCTGCCTGCTATCACTAACAAGATACTTGGCATTTTTGGTGGAATATACAGTTGGAATTGATGACATTGAGGGCTTTTGTTAAAAGGGATGATATATTTAAATGCCATTGCTTAATAGAATGCATGGTTGAGCATTCAATGCTAGGTTAACTAATATATATGTATCGTATGTTGAACTTCTTTCACACTGTACATAGCCAACCGTACTAATGGGGGGTGCGGGAAATATGAGTGGTTCAGTTTTCACAAGATATACTCGTGTGTTGAAAAAATGAAAGCACCGTATATTTTGCTTATAATTTTACAAACATCGAATTTCTCTTATGTTTTCAAAAGACAGAATAAGCATCCAATTTTAATTATGGTGCTGTTACTTTGGCCTAACAATAAAGTAATACCTATTTTTCATGTGAATGAAATATTTAAACGTGTGTGTTACAACACATGGGGTTGCTGCTGCTTATTTATATTATTAAGATGCATTACAAATATTGGTTTTAAAAAAACATTTTTAACAGGCAATAAAAAACCAAGAAATGTAAAGCAGGATTTATTTTTAGGTTTTGGTGTTGCTGAAGCTCTGCACGCCTAAATATTCACTTCACTTTTCGTCAAAACAAAACGTGTACTGAACCTTTCACCGCTAACAATATCGCAGTCGTTATGGAAGAGCACTTAAATACTAAATTACCGTACACATCTTGAAATGTTCGTTTCTGTAAGCCAAAAATGTACAGTACAATTTCAAATGTACATCTAATTGTACCGTACATGACAAAGCCAAGCGATTACGTGTGTAAAATGTGCTTTGTGTGAAAATGATCAAGCATGCAACACTGAATTTTTCTTCTTATTTGCTTACTATTTTGTGAATGTTAAAAAAAGTGTTTTCATGCACACGTGTGGATCCACTTGATATAAGTGGTAAGTCGTGACACAAGGCTTTTATTTGTGCAATGTAGTACACTAGCATCACTCGTAGCAATAGCGTTCCATGGGTTATATGTGCAGTGTTATTCAAAAGGTATAATCATTGTCATGACCCTCAGAATCTGTCGAAGGGAAAAAATATTTGCACATTTTGCAGTTCATTCATTTAAGTGCCGATTATTACGTGTAAATTAGGCCTACATTGTAGAACGTTCCTGTACACAGGTACCATAAGGAGAGTTTTCTCAGAAGCTGCCATTCTGAACGTGGCGTATAACCTTTGAAGAGTAAATTATGCAAATCGATTGATTGCTGGTTTGCCAGTGTGCTGAACGGTGTGGGTTTTGTGGGCAACGTTTGTGTGTGTCTTAAGAATCATTCTCGTGAGTAAGTGTGTGAGGAGCCATCAAGACACGTTTGAGAATCGGTTACTACAGTTTGTTTTGTATACATACTGTAACGCCATATGGTGCTTCGGAAGAAATCTGGAGTTAATTGATGTTATTTGTCAGAATATCCCATTGGCAAATTGTGTTCTCTGTTTTCTTCTAAAGAGCAGACATTGCACAAAAATTGGAAAAATACATATGGAGTTGAAAAAAAAATCGTGTCATAGTAAACTAAATGAAAAACTGTTGCAAAAAAAGTCGTCGGCCAATATATACGCTCGGTAATTGTAAGTGCATGTCGCTGACTCTCCATATAAATTACTGCCTCAAGCTATAATTACATTGTCGCATTTGTTAACAAATATTATTCAATAAATTCATGACTTGCTTGAGTAATTTTTAAACTTAAAACGTTTTGCCCATGACTTGATATTCCAGTGTCAAGTCGGCCAAAATCCTCGTGTATCCTGTAAATATATTCAGACTGGAGGCCTAGATCTGAACATCTGTTAATTATTGATGAGATTTTAAAGTATATAATGTATACTCCCAGTATGGAATGAGGCATGCAATGGCAATACTCCCGAGTTTTTATTTGGGCCTTGATGAATGACAAAATATTACAAATGGAAAACGGACTGATGAATAGAAATTAGTTCCGCGTCCACAAAGATAGTGTAATTCGACACGTGTCACTGGACATGTTTTATTTATAAGGAATTGCAATTAAGTAGTTATGTACCGTATTATGAAGCTGGAAATGCAAGAGAAAACTAAAATAAATAAAACATCGAAGCACTCGTATTGAAGCGTGGGAAAAAAATGAAACTGAGGCTGCTTATAGTGATGTAATCATTTTAACCTGTGCATTACACGAACATGTGCTTGTTTATTTCTTGAATTGTACAATTGTTCTTTGAAAACCAGACCTTTAAATACCCTTAAATATAACGAGCTGGCTTAATTACAATTAATAGGTGGTTATCAAGCATATGAGCCATCATTGTCAAAATCGATGATGTAACAAAATTCAGCCAGTATATAGACAGGCTATCGGTGGAGTTTCTACTCAATCGCTTATTCCCTTGGTATGTTAAAGCCACTCTTAATGTGGAAAATATACTTTCATTGTTCTTTGTCACCAACTTTTTTTTGACCAAACTTAACTCGGGTCTGCTCCACGATTTTTTTCTTTAAATAAACAGGTCGTGTAAACAGAAAACAGTCATCTTAATGATGGGTTTGAAAGCTGAGTGACATCTGTTTCTCTCATTGATTAAAGTTGAACCTTGAGATAAAATGAATACTGTAAAATGTAAAAAAAGTCATTTGTATTTGGCTTTTTCTACTTTTTTTTGCAAGCACTGCACAGTATGTTTTTCCTGTTTTGCCCCGGATACTTTATGAACAATAATGTCGTTTAAATGAAGCTTGTATATATTGTTAAAATGCCTTTTTGAAATGAATTTAAAATAATATATAGAACTGAACCGGTACATATTTTCTGTTCAAATATTTTCTCCCAATTGAATTAAATGTATGTTTGGCATTTAATTACCCTATTATTTGTCCTAACTGATTTAATTGATCGTTTAATGTGATTTATTTTAATGACATTTAAAGGAAGAACTCGTGTGATGGGTTTTTTTCTTCCTCGGCAACATGTTGCACATTCGTATATGGCATTTGTGTTTTATGCATAGAAAGTACTTTTAAATTGGAACATATTCAGTAGTTTGGATATTGCTCAATTCCTGTTGTGCCGTAAAATGTTGTGCCTTTTGTATGCACTGCTACTGTTAATGACTACTGCTTCTTGTTATAAACAAAATATGCGTGCAACAACATCACGTATTATATGACGCACTATTTGCTGTTCATCATAAGCCATCTTAATTTACTTGGCACTGCGGAAATAGTTATAAATTATGGTGACAATGTTGATGGTGTACTATTAGTGTCACTATACTTCACAGTAATACATTTTGGGTTACAATATATAATGATACACTGGTGCATGTGAATTCCATAAATTTCTGTTTATTGTTGACATGTTTTAATTGTCAATTTGCGAGCTACTGTATGCTGTAGAAATGTAGTGTGTGCTTGTGAAGTACGTGTCATACATCTGTTTAGCTAAATAAAGTATATGAATCAGTGTTTGTCATTGTCCTTTGTTTTACGTCACCTCTATTCGTTAACCACTGATTTATTTGTTTTTTTTTTATTAATTAATGAAAAAATGCAATATATCATCTTTAAGATGTCTTGATTGGCGAAACCAACTACTGTTTTGTATTTTATGCAAGTGCGAACATGCAGGATTTCTTTTTCTCACGTCCAACTGATTGTGCATGAAAAATGTTTGACAGCTCGGGGATGATTTGGAATCCGATAGCGGTCTGGCAGCTACTGTCCATTGCTCACCTTATTTCTGCCAAATGCACTCATTTGACCGTTACCGTATTGGTGGTTACTGAACCCAAAAAAATATTCAAACACCCTCAGATGACCCGTTTTTTGTGTCCACTTGAATAATGCACGGTCCTTGTCACCAGCCTTGAACGTGTCATTCTGGGTGACAACGCAGAAATAGGGAAGGTTGTGATATATGTCCCCTATCGTCTTAACGTCAGCACTACAATTCTGCATATGACATAAATGTGCTTTTTGTATATGCACAAACTTTATTTCTGAATATTGATGAGCTTCAATAGGAAAATTCCCATGACCACAGTAATTACAGTTTGCGAAGACAACGCAAACAGTGACTTGCTGCTATAGAAGATTATGCGTGCAGTTGCTGCTTCGTTGAACTTGCGAAATGAAATACAGGCTATAAAACGAAATAAGGGTTTTTTAAATCAAATATTTTACACGAGGTGAGTTGGTTGAAAAAGTCCTCAATGAAACTAAATCTACATTAAATATTCACCAAATAATGTAGAAAACAATCTGGTTGGTTTTTTCAAGCCTATTGTTGCAATTTCGACGTGCATTTTCCAAGGTATGTAATACGTGACTTAATACAATCCACCACAGGACAGTATATTCATGAGTTTTTAGCACCGTATACGGTATCTTGTCTACAAACGTACATTATAAATTATAACACGATGTAACAATTTTTGTTCCTGGGTAGTAAGGGTTATTTCGTAATTGCTTATGCCTAAAAAGTATAGAAAATGGCTTTTATTCCCCTCAAACTCTGCTTTTGTGACCAGGACAGTGATATTTTGAAATTTACCTATTTTCATTGAGAAAACGGGCGAATTTGTGTCTTTTCATTCACATAAAGTCAGAAAAAAACTACATGAATCAAAATGAACATGTATTTATACTAAAGTCATTCAAAAATGACTTCAAAATATTTAATCATGTGTAGTTTTTTATTTATTTACGATTATACTGTAAATCACTTTCACGAATCAGCCCCCAAATGTAGTCTCCCGTCATGTTCTCGTTATACTGTCCTTGGTAGCGGCGTTCAAAGTCCAGCATATCCTGGTTCTCCGAGTATGCTCCCATGTTCTAATTGAATGTATCAAGATGAGCATCAAGAATATGAACTTTGAGGGACATCCTACAGCCCATTGTGCCATAGTTCTTCACCAGAGCCTCAACCAGCTCCACATAGTTTTCGACCTTGTGATTGCCCAGGAAGCCACGAACCACTGCGACAAAGCTGTTCCAAGCCGCTTTCTCCTTACTAGTGAGCTTCTTGGATAATTAGTTGCACTCCAGGATCTTCTTTATCTGTGGTCCGACAAAGACACCGGCTTTGACCTTTGCCTCAAGACAGCTTAGGGAAGAAGTATTGAAGGTACTTGAAGGCTGCCGACTCCTTATCTACAGCTCTGACAAATTGCTTCATTAAGCACAATTTGATGTGCAGTGGTGGCATCAGCACCTTCCGGGGTCCACCAGTGGCTCCCACTTGACGTTGTTCCTCCCCACAGAGAACTTGGTCTGCTGTGGCCAATCTCGCCTGTGGTAGTGCGCCTTGGTATCCCTGCTGTCCCAAAGGCAAAGATAGCAGGAAAACTTGGTAAAACCGCCTTGGAGACCCATCAGCAATGCCACTATTTTAAAGTCTCCGATGACCTCCCATCCGTACTCATCATACTTCAAGGCGTCCAGCAAGGTCTTGATACTGTTCAAGACCTTTCTCTTTGAGGTGCACCGAGTGAGCCAGAGGAAAAGACCAAAACTTGTTACCATTATGGAGCAGCACGGGTTGGAAGCTCTTGGATGAGCTATCAATGAAGAGGTGTCACTCATTCTGGTTTACAGGCGATTCCGATTGCCTCGAACAGACTGGTCACATTGTGGCAGAAGCAGAGCCAATCTTGACAGGTGAAGAAGCTGCAAAAAGGTTGGTGACGCTTCCTCTGATCTGTGACTTGCACACTTTTATCAAACAAGTTCCACTGCTTGAGCCTAGACGTCAAAAGCTCGGCATTGCACTTGGTGAGACCAAGATCTCTGATCAAGTCGTTGATGTATTTTTGGTTGGGGTAGTATGGGTTTCTCTCCTCAGCTCCACCTCTGAAATTGTCATCTGGATTTACGTCTTCCTCGCTTTCTGATTTGCTGCTGTCTTCTAAAGACGGCTGCTCTCCGGAGGAGTGGGTACGGGGAGCTCATGGCAGTGTGGCACCGGGGCGATGGATAAAGGAAGGTCCGGATACGTGATAGCAGGTGCATTCTTGCCAGTTTGACGTTTGGAAGGGTCCACCATGCAGAAGTAGCAGCTGCTTGAGTGGTCAGTGGGTTTCCGCCAAATTCTTGGGATAGTGAACTTCATGGCTCTCTTTTCCCCTCTGTACCATCCTACAAAATACATTTATTTCACCCATGACTAATGTGTAAGAGATTCTCGCAACATTTTTCATACATGATATATTTTTCAATAATATTGAAAATTGTAAAAAAAAAAACATTTGACAATTTTAAACATTTTAACAAATTTATAACATAAAATTCCAAGCAACAATTGCCCATCTTACCTTCCAGAGTTTTTTGCATTGCTCGCAGGTGAAATGAGGTGCCCAGGATTTGTCTTGATCTCCGACAGGCATGCCGAAATATACCTTGTAGGCCTCACACATCTTAGCAGATGCTTCCACAGAGTACTTTTTCGCTCTCGTTTTGATAAATTGGCCGCAGACATAGCAAAATGCGTCTGCCGGATGCTTGCAGCCTCTTGATGCCATCTCAGAAAAATGCAGATATGTATCCACTTAGGCAGCTAGAACAAAACTGAACTAGTGGGCTTAAGGCCCCTGTATTTATACTACTATTTATATTACTGGAAAGTTATAGAATGTTCTAGAAGTTACTCCAAGTTTACTCAGCACTGAATCTATCTGGAATGTTCTGGAAAATAGATAATTTTCAAAATATCACTCTCCTGGTCACAAAACAAAGTTTGTGGGGAATAATATCCATTTTCTATACTTTTGAGGCATAAGCAATTAAGAAATAACACTTACTACCCAGGAACAAAAAAAGCGTTATTACGGTGTAATTAATGTGCACTGGAATGTTTGGCTTATTTACGAATTCCCAAAGCTTTCGCACATAAAATAGTTGGATTTTTTTTTTAGATTCACCGAACATTAAATCTCAAATAATGTATTTACTTAATGCACTAGCGAGTGTTGGATTTTAGAATGATTATTGTTCAAATGTTTGGTGTAAATCTGAATATACTGGAGAAATCCGATGAGCTATGAAGCTCATTTTCACAGATGACCAGTAGAATTGTCCAAGGGCTACAACATGCTTCACCACCGCACTGGCTGGTGTTTATTTCCATTTCTGGCCCTGGATTAATGGATGTTAATGTTCTGTTCTGGGTTCCACTGTTTTTGACAGTACACGATGTATGCAGCATGCTTACTCTCCAAGTGACACTACTAATTTTACCAACTCCAGAGGAGCGATGGACTGGGCAGGCCATTTTTGGCCTCTGCTCTAATGTCCTTATTGAATGGAAGCCTGCTGCTTTACCAATTGAACTATCCCCACTATATACACAGTTGCAGTGTCCTATGAAATTGCGTTGTATTTTTTTTTTATGCAACAGTAAAATCAAACATTTGGTCATCACAGAGGTTTTTTGGGTTATATTGCGTAAATATAAATGTATCGCTAAACCCGCCACCACCCGACAGCCAACTAGTAAGGTTTGTCACGAACAAAACATGCCAGTTACTAGTTCAGCACACCGGTGAGTTGAAGAGTCAACCCACAAAATGTACAATTCCAGTCCAACATTTTACCGGTAATTACAACCAGCCACATCAGGCAACAGCCAGAATTATCGTCTTAAATATGAGAGTAAATTTGATGTCACTTTGAGCCAATCGGGTGCGAATACTATAGGGGCGGGGTTAATGTAGTCATATAAATTATAATGGATATCTATTATTTATTGGTTGGGTTATTCACAGTTTTTGCACCCCAAATATCGCATACCTAGTATTGGCTGCTCACAACTAATCACCATCGACGTATGGTGACCTGTATGGTAAAATACTCCCAAACACAACTATCGGCAGTAGCAGAACAGGTGTGCCAACAAGGGCACTTAATTGATTTTGATAATATTGACGTTTTGTGCAACACCAGTGACTGGTCAAGACTAATTCTAGAATCGATTGAAATTGAGAGAAATTAAAATAATTGTAACTGTTCTGATAGCTACAGGCTTCGTGCTGCTTGGAAGCGTATTATCAAGTAATACACTGTCGAATTGCATGCCTCTCCAGGTCACCATACGTTGATGGTGAATAACTATGGACAGTTACAGTATTTGCGATTTTTGGGCCCCAAAAACGGCAGAATGCAAATACATAATGTACATTCATTGTATATAATGTACATAATCTACATTAATGTATATTAATGGACATTATGTATGTTGATTAACTGAATAACCCAACCAATCATATATAGAAATTGTCATTTATATGACTACATTAATCACGCCGTTCTGGTCTTCACACATAATTGGCTCAGAAGTGACGACATTACATTTACTGCCCTATTTAAGACCAAAACAGGAGGATTTTCCACAATTCTGGCTATCACCTGATGAGGCTGGTTGTAATTACCACAGAAACGTCGTACTCCAATTTTAAATGTTGTGGGTGTA